AATTGATCGACTGGAAATTACCGTTCTAGAATAGTTCTCATGTCTGTTGGCACAGTTCATTGGTTGAAACAGAGCTATAGTATCTGAAAAACAAGGACGATGACAATTCTGTTGGCGCCATCTTTCGTTTGACAACAAAGTAGCCAACGTTCGCGAAAACCGCTTTTTTCTAAGGCCCATCCTGAATCTATCTGTAGTGAAGTGGCACTTTGGCATGCGTGGTGGGAAATTGATAACCATCCTCAATTGACGTGTCTCGTAATACCTGGGGTGCGTTCAAGGACGGCAATGCTAATACCAAAACCTACTTTTCCCCCTCCACTTGTAATGCCGAACCACGTAGGTTGGAGCCGAACTCGAACGCAAAATGCCAATTTTGGCTTGGCTGTAGCCATGCCTGAACGCAGCCCTGGTGTGCGCGCGCCACTCGTGGGTTGCAGGTGAGAGTCCAATGAGAATCGAGTTTATTACGGGCTTGCGTCACATTCGTAATCAGGGACGAGTTCAGAATTAATCGTTCCTTCTTTCTTTGTAATGTGTAATTCGACAAAGAGCAAACTAATACTTTATGTATTACTTGAACTTACCGCAGTGTCGTTTAAGGTTATGTTAGATTATTCTCGACATATTCCTTTGAAATTTCATTGTGCAATGTTGCCGGATGAAACATTTATCAAAATAAAAGTGCAAACGATGCTAACATACACTTTAAAGCTCTTCTTTTGTCTGATTTAAGGCGTTATAAAACACTTATGACACTATTTCACTTCATTAATGTTATAATGTTCGATTTGTATTGTCTACATTTGTTCTGCAATAATACAATCTGGCTATACTGCAGCCACGAGTTGCGCGCGCATGTCATCTTTTATTACTTTTTAACTTGTATTTATTACAATTAAGCTCTCTTTTTCTATTTCTGCGAGACACGTCAATTGGCGATTTCGACTACCGATGAGGGCGCTGGCGTTTGTAAACAAATATGGCGGGACACAAGTAATATTTTGACGTTCAGCATTGTATTTATATGCATTCGTATTTCTTTCGCTAATTTTCTCGTTGTTCTCGTAGTTTTTTCGGTGGTTTTTTACTATATTCTTTAAATTTTGAACGTTGTGACATTCTTTTGTGCATTTCGTATCCATACAACACGAAAGAACATATCCCAATACGGTTATGTAAACAAACCATCTATTACTCTTTTATTTTGTTCCAAATATTTCCGCCAGGTGCCGCATTGATTTTTGAAATCGCCAAAATACTATCATCAGTTTCAGGGCCAAATTATGGACTGACTGGTAAACGTCTGGTTGTTACCTAGCAGGTACTTTCTATGCACTAGAGAATAGAAAGTACCTGCTAGGTAACAACCAGACACTTACCAGTTGGTCCATAATTTAGCCCTTAATCAAAGGTTTCAATCAATGAACTATAACCAAAAACTGGAATGCTAACACATAAGGACGAACGTGAAGCCTAGTGCGGCTGCTGCGGAGGGGATACCTGTTTTTGTCGCACTCATTATGTTAAATGGCGAAAATTGCTTCCAACACGTATTCCAATTGATGAAACCTGTGAAGGGAAATATGACAAAACTTTCGAAAACGTCATATGTCAGCGAGCAACAGAAAAAAACAACATTCCCCGTTGTGGCATCTGTCTTTCATGGCTTCATTTTTTTGGCAGATATGGCACTGTGTGCGCATTCCAGTTTTTAGCTCTAGTTCATTGGTTTCAATGCACCGGTGTGTGACCTGAAACTTCTATGTTGAATTTCGTTTGACAGGTCATGAGACTGCCTTGGCACATACTCTTTGAACGCACCTTGTATTAGGCAATTCAAACCACGTGACACTCAAGATGGCGTGCCGGCCACACACGGCCCAAAAAACACGAAAAATATCTAATTTCTGCCCGATTTTATAACTTAAGTACCTAGTCAACAAATATTTTATCAAATAATCAAAATTGAAGTTGCAAGCAAAACTCTAAGCAAAATAATTTAAAATACGCATGAAAACATATTCAAAACTGACTTGCTTTGCCGCCACGCCATATTGAATTTTCCTCTTTGACAGATGGATTGAATTGCCTAATTGCGTAAAAATTTGACTTTTTGACAAGCCGGTAAGATTTTATATCGGGGCTGCGTTTAGGAATGGCTACAGCCAAGCCAAAATTGGCTTTTTGCCTTCGAGTTCGGCTCCAACCTACATGGTTCGGCATTACAAGTGGAAGGGGAAAAGTAGGTTTTGGCATTAGCATTGCCGTCCTTGAACGCACCCCAGGTCTTCAAAAAACAAACCATTCACAGATTGCTTTGCTTACGAAAACGTACGTCGTATTAATAGGCCTGTTCGCACAGCAATCACAAACCAGTCAGAGCGAATTTCATTGGTTGAAAACAGTCAGAAAACTAGTTTCAACCAATGAAATTCACTCTGACTGGTTTGTGATTTATGTGCGAACAGACCTATTGTTTCTTTATTGTTCAGGATTTTAGACATGACATTCTGACATTAAAGTTCATTGACAAAAATAAAGAAAAATATTGCTAAGGGCGGGTATTATAAAACTACTTTGAGAGTTAACTTAAAGTTAACTTCTGGCATTAGATGTAATTCAAAAAGTTAACTTTAAGTTAACTGTCAAAGCAGTTTAATAAGGGCGGGTATTATAAAACTATTTTGACAGTTAAAAGTTTAACTTTTGGAATTACACGTCATTCCAACAGTTAACTTTTTGTTATGCATGCTATCAAAATAGTTTCATAATACCTGCCCTACATACATACGTTTAAAAAATCGTAGCAATCTTTCCCAAAATAGCGGAAAATGACAAGACCAGTCAGTCGGGTGTCCCACTTTTTATACTCACGAATATTACACACGCCACCATTGACACGCCACTGACTTATCTCTAGGTTACAGTTTTGGTTTTATACAGAGCGAGTTCGGAGAGTTTGTGCCAATTTTAATGGCCACAACCAACCAAAACACTCTGAACAGGGTCAAGATTCCTTAAGTTCATAGGTTACCTGGTGATGGCCGGGTAATTTGATGACGCGTCTGGGGTGCCTTATGGAGATTTGTATTATGTTGAGCCTCCCCCCCAGATGACGTCATCAAGTTATCAGGCAACCTATTTTTCTCAAGCAACCTTGGAACAGGGTGACAACCTATCATTTGCATTAAAAAATAAACATTTTTCGAAAGTTGTTGGGTATAATTTTTCATTGGACTTTGAAAATGTTGATATTATCAAAAAATAAGGAAAAAAATCTCAAAAAATTGATGACTCAGCTTGGTTACATTTAAAAAAATGGGATATTTTGGCAAAACCAAAGTTAAAAAATACTACCGGGTGCAATAACCGGGTGTCTCGTTTGAAAATCTAAAGTTAAGGCGTTATCAGTCAAGGAGAATACACACTCTAGGGGCCGAATTTATAGTCCTTCCTTAAGGTTTCCTCAGACCTTGAGGAAACCTTGATCGTTTAGAATTGACATGACTAACTTGTCAAATAGTAGCAAGTGTCCATTCTACTAAACTCACGACCTCCAAGGAAGACACAAGGAACGACTATAAATTCGACCCTAAGGAGTGCTTATCGGCCTCGTCTTTGGTAATCGCCGCCATATTAGTGTGCAACCATTGCCGACGTCATTAGCTGTTTAAGCAGCCTACGTCAAGGCGAAAAATAACATACTGCCTACGTCACAGCTGGTTGTTTGGCTAAGGGGGGAAGAGAGAGATTTGTTACACACAGGCCTTATGAGGATATGACATCCTGTAGTAGTAGTGTTTATCATCCTTAATTATCAGTGACTTCGGGTTACAGTGCCTCTCTTCCGGTTTAGTCCGGAATTACAGAAGCTCTGCAACATCAAGATACAAATGTAGAACCTGCAAGTCTGACTTTTCGTATCACAAAAGCAGAATGCTTTGCAAGTCGCCTGCAAATTTACGCATAGTGAAATGATCCCGTAGTCCTTGCAATCGCTTTGACAATTTTGACATTTAAAACTGGTAAATCAGTAGCGTCCAAACACTTTTTTTCGATAAATATGACGGAATTGCATATTTTTTCTGTAATTCGCTCGTTCCTGCAAATAAATGACATATGCAAGTCAGCCATATTTGCAGAACTGCAAATTTGCAGATGCAAATATACTAGCTGGGTTCGGGATGGCCAAGCGGAGCTCGAGTAGAATTGGAGTGGCGTTTTTATCACGTGACCAAAAAGCTTTTGGAGTGTATTAGTAAAACCGAACGGCCAAGGTGCATTTGGAGCATTTGGAGTTTCTTAACTTAACCTATCCCAACAAATGACAAGTATTATTTTAAAAACAACAAACGTTTTTCGAGTCTTTTCTATGAATTTTTGGTATTTGGTGCCTATATTTGATTTTGTTGAAGACGTTTATTTCGGCGACTTGTCTGAAGAAGTCGTCAAGATTATCATTGGACATTTCAGTGAAATTACGCGTTGCTTGCATGTCAAATACGCAGTTTAAAATCCATTCCATTTATTTACCAGGTAATTACAGATTAAATATTGATTTGTTGACTGTCGATTAGTCGAATAGTCGATTGTCGCAATCTAAAAAATAGGATAAATGACACAAAATCACGCTCTTTTGACTCCCGCACGTCCTTCCCGAACGCATGTGGTGTTACTCTTTTAGCTCAAAATGACAATACCCGAACGCCTCGGGAGTGTTTATTGCAGTTGGAGTTTATAGAACAGTCATCCCGAACCCACCTACTGTAATTGGGCCCCTCTAACCGGAAAGCCGGTTGTGCCCTATTCCTTGTGTCACCCTGTCTGTATATGGAAGGTCTGTGATAAAGTGATATAAACACTGATAACCCTTCCCTTGCTTATTTTGGTTTTTGTGTAAATCTATACAGGAATCTGTATTTTGTCTCTGTTCCTGTAGCGCCATCTATTGGTAAGTGAAAAATAAAACTAGAATGAAGTTCCTTCTAACCTCAAACATTTCCCTCCCTTGTGTGTTTGTTTACTCGGTTTTTATTTATTTTTATATCCCATCCCAAAATTCAATTTTTAATGAAAAAAAGACTGTTCAAATTCATTATAAGTAAACTCTAATTAATAATATTTACAATCTTCTAGTTTATTGAAGTTGGTTTAGTTAATTTTAAGAACAAAATGAGTGAAGAAAAGGATCAAGCGTAAGTTTGAGTTTCTTAATCCTTAGCAGAAAACAATAATTCCCTTAAAATACTTGATTCGTGTTTAGAAAAATTGCCGATCCTGAAAACGAAAACTCCAGCCAAGAAACTGAGGACAAGGAACAGAGCAGCGAAACTGATAATGAGTCGAATCTTTCGTCGGCCACTGCAGGCAGCTCGTCAAAAGGCAAGGATAGTGATAAAAGTGAAAAGAAACAAGCTGAAGGCAATTGCTATTGGTAAATTATATGTCTAGTTTTATTAATAACACAGAAAAATGGCCCACATTATGGGAAAATTGCTAGAAGACACAAAAAACAAACATCTAAGTTTTATACGCTGAGCTTGACTTTGCACTATTTGGTGTGTGTTTTGAACAATCAGTATTATATTATTGTATTTGTTAAATATTTGATTTTGTTCTTTGGAGCTTGTTACAAATAAACTCAATAAAAAAACAGCATTAGAATTTTCAACATAGTGCTACAAAGAACTGAGAAGATTTTACGTTTGGTGAATTATAATTTCTTTGAGAGTCACTTTAATGCACAAAAATTTGTATATTCATAGTTATTCATGTCATGTCTCTATGATACTTGGAAAAATTCCTAGATACCAAATGGCTTTACTTTCAAAATATGAATCAAATTTGTTGAAAGCCTTTGATTTGATAAATACTCACACAATGTGTAGGTCTGTGACTGTGACTCTGACTACCTTGTGCAAAACCATGAATATTCTTTAAAATTTTTAGTGGCAAAGACAGAAATCTAAACATTGCTGAGCTGCTTTGTGCCAACTGTAATCGATGGTTTCACGAATCTTGCATAGGGTATCAGCTAGGAAAATTGGTACCGTTTTTGTCCAACTATATTTTTCTTTGTAAAAATTGCTCTCCAACTGGATTGGAAACTTTCAGGAAAAGTCAAGCTCGTAAGTACCTATTGAAAGTTTTCCATAGACATCCATCCAATAACATTTTAATATTACTTCAGAAATTACCCAAATGTGCATGACAGCTATTGCCAACCTCCAACAGGCCAGTGTCAAAGATGGCTCCAATAAGACTTTATTCAACAAAGAAAAGGAAATTATTCCATATATTGAATATCATTGGGAAGCTATAACAACTACATCAAGGTTTATTAACAATTTTGAAATATTTACTTGGAAAATAAAATTTTGATTATGTTTTTAGGAGAGTCACCCAATCATGGCACTCAACCGTTACAAAAACTTTAATAAAAGACATCCATATTCTTTTTGTTTTTGAGGACAAAGGCGATGGGCAAATGTATGGTTTAATGGATAACGATCTTACTCATATTAAGCCCAACTATGATGCTATGATCAAGGGTGGTACTTTGAAAGTTACTGATATGGGTATTCAACATGGTAAGTGGACTTTGATTTGAGTGAAAAATAATTGAACAGACAATATTGAATCTAAATCCAATAAGTACCTTTTGGTTTTATAAAAAAAAGTGTTGATTGGTTGAAATGACTACCATGACTACCAACTTTTTGTTTTTATTAATTACTTGGTTGCCAACTTTTGTTTGACAGAACCTTCAGATTCAGTGTCATTTATTGCATCATGAGGGCTATTTGATTGTAATCTTTTGTGAGAAAGCATTTAAATATAAAGCTTTAACATAAAATATTGAAATCATTGAAAGAATAGTGGGCTGCTTTCATATTTCTGCAATAATACTAAATTGAGTTTATAATGGCACCGATCTCCACCAAGAAATACAAAACATCTAACAGAGGCCCTCTAAAATTGCCAGGCGAGAAGACCAAATACTCCTCGAAATATTCTAATTCAGGTAAATATTTGGCATTAAGTAGTGTTAAATTGAACATGTTCTTCTAGGCCGACATACAAGACGACAGTCTATTTTATAATAATTGAAACCAATAACCGTAGAGATTACAACAAGCTCACGAGCTACTACAATCTTATTCAACTAACTAGTAACCAATAACAAAAAACTTGATGTCTATCATTATCAACAAAATTTCATAGATCACTAGAGAAATTGGTTTCTTTATGTTTATGAATCCTGTAATTTTAACAGGTAGTACCTACTCCTTAGGTCGTGTTTATGTTGGAGCTGTGATACACGATAAAAGCAACGATACTAATGTAAAGTATCATTAGTATTGTTGCTTTTATCGTTTATCACAGCCCCAACATAAACACGGCCTAAGAAGAGGCTTCCATAAAACTCTGCTATAGTAAAAACCTGAAGGCTAGAACCCAGTGTCCTTTGCACAAGAAAAAGTTTTTATCGATTTTCTCTTTCCAGCTAAATTTCGAATCAAAATGTTACAAACATTTGTTTTTGATTTGCCATCTCGCTCAGATTAGTAGTTTCTAGAAAAAACTAACAGCCCCAAAATAGACTAACCTCCAAAACGAAAACAAACAAAAAATTATTGAAAAGGAAAAGATTTAGTAGGTTCTGAAATCAAATTGATAGTTCCTAAAAAAATGGACAAAACCACACTCATTGTTCTTAGATTTCTTTTTTTTTTTTCACTCTGTAGAGAGTTGCGTGCTGAAGCTCCTTTGGCATGTTGATAAATAAATAGTCTTTTACATGTTGATTAAAGACAGTACCAAAATGTTTGAGTTTTAAGGCTTGAAATTTGAATCAATAGAATCGAACTTACAGTATTGATTTAAAACCAATAATAGAGCAGTGCAAAATAAACTGCAAAATGTTCCTGTTTTCAAGTCATTCTGGTTGTACGTGACTAAACAATACGTACAACGCGATATGTACCAATATAAATGATTTTTATTATCAGTTCAACCTCAGACCGGTGATTCAAAGAATTGCTGATTATTGAAAGTTCATAAATACACACCATAGCTTCAATTTTGCTTAGACCTTTGGTGCTTCGATAATTTTCAGGCACATTAACTTTGTGACTTATATTTCATTCAAATATAAAGCAAGGTAGGAAATCAATCTTTAATTCATTGAAAATGTTTATTAAGTAAAATCTCAATAGTTTACTATCCAGCTAGATTAAAAAAGTTAGTGGACCTGAGAACTTTTACCGGGACAAATTTGTTAAAGCAATATATTCATTACTTTTTCGTTAGTTAATTTTGATTCATTCAGAAATAGTAATTATCTCAAATAATTATATAGTTGAAATTAAATACACAATCAGTTGTTTTAATAACAACTGATTATGAGTCACGATAAGCACAATAATTATTCACTTGCAAACAATTTAGTAGATAGTTTAGATTTTAGGATCATATACAAATTTGACTCTATAGAACTGTATTTTATTTATTTCACCAATAATAGGTCTTCAACATCTTCATCTTTGGTGGCATGGCATTTTCAAATTTTGCAGATACGTGTGCTTTATTGGTGATTATATTATATATCTGTCTTACTTATGTTTAACTAGACTTATAACTTATAACTTCTCACTAGGTATTTTAGAAAAACAAAATTTTTATTTTATTTTACATGAATTAAAATTACAATTAAGGGAAAGTTATGCTTTTCCATTAATTAATGGAAAATTTAAAGTAAGTTACAAATCAAAAATGCTTTATTTTGTCACAAAAAACGGTTTTTCATCTACAAAGCTGATTAAAAAAATATACATAAAAAGGTTATAAAAATGTCGCAATATACAAACAAAAAATAAACTAAATATAAAATCACAAAGTACCTAACCTAAACAAACTCTTAGACAGATAGAAGCTTAAATTAAAATATAAAATCCAAAATTAAAATACAGAACATACAAGTACAATAAGAACATGTGCATATACAGAGCAGGGAAAAAGTAAAATAAAAAATATCAAAAGTCGCACAAAAGTCATATTAATAACATGAAACATTTAATTAGACAAAATTATAATTAAAAAACTCCTCAACACTATAATATCCCTTTGATAGTAGAAGCGATTTAACATCTTTCTTGAATTTTATTGGGTTAACAATTTTCCTCAAGCTGAGTGGTAGTTTGTTGAAACATTTTTTACCCATATAGATTAGAGAGTTTTTTATCAAAGACGTTTTGGGAATGGGCAGACTTAGGAAGTGTGTTTGTCTCGTAGTGCTTACATGTTTGTTTCTTTGTAGCCTCCAATTCGAAATCAAAAAATATGAAAAGAAAGTTCCAGGGAGATACAGGAAGTCTCAGCAAGAAGACTAGAGGAATGGATTTGGCAACGCCCAAATTGCCTGCCCACGGATATCCACTGGATCATCCTTTCAACAAGGACGGATATCGGTATCTATTGGCAGAACCAGATCCACATGCTCCATTTCGTCAGGTATATTTGGAGTTTCTATTTGCATCATCTTATGTCTATTTTGTGCCTACTAATTTACAACTAATTTATTTTCAAACAGTAGTAGGGAGGAATTATATTTTGATTTTAGGAATTTGATGAATGTTCTGATTGGGCGGGCAAACCAATACCAGGTTGGTTATACAGAACCTCGATTCCGAGTGCAGTGCTTTTAGCTCTTCATGATAGAGCTCCTCAATTGAAAGTATCAGAGGATCGATTGAGTGTTACTGGAGAAAAAGGTTATTGCACAATTCGGGCAACACATTGTAAGTTTTATTTTTTCGAATACGGAAAAACTATCAGTCTGCACAGAATTTCTCATCCAATAACTTAGCTTGTGTGACATTGATTCTGATCATTGCTTAACCCTTTGAGAACTGTGAACTTTAGCCCAAAAAACGCCGGTTAGCATTTTCTATAATAGTCTATTTACAGCACCAGTTTCACCTTCTAAAAAATTCAGACCAATGAAAATTGAACTAAAATTGCCATGATAAGTGAAGACACTTTTGGGTACTTTTACGTTTTGAAAGCCCCACACACGGGAATTTTGTTTGTACCACAGAAGTGAAAATGTCTTCTTATGCCCAATAATTTTCTTGCTAAAGTCAGGGTACTTTGCATGCATATCCAGCACCAAATCAGCGAAACTGAAGGAAACTTGATTTCTCATTTAGCCAATGCAGTTATCTTTTTATCATCACAATTGCTAAATTTAATCAACAATGCTGAACTACTAGGATCTTTGTTTCCACCAGAAACATAACTGTTTTCTTAAAAATGTAACAATTTTTGCAATTAGCTTTCACCTATGCCCTATAAGTATTTATGACATAGAATTTTTGTTTTTTTCATCCCATAACTCCATAATGTAACATGTCCAACTTACAAAACAAAATTATTATAAACTCAAAAATTATTCTAGTTGTAACGAGAGGTTGTTGGTATTGGGAAGTGACAATAAATAAAATGCCAGAAGGATCAGCGACTCGTTTGGGTTGGGGTCAAGATTATGCCAATTTGCAGGCGCCAGTGGGTTACGATAAATTTGGCTATTCGTGGAGATCGAAAAAAGGGACCAAATTCCATGAAGCCCACGGTAAACATTATGCGAGCAGCGGTTACGCTGAAGGTGATACTGTGGGATTCATGATAATTCTGCCACAAAATAATACTACGAAAATTGTACCGAATACTTATAAGGACAGAGTAAGTAAAATTTTTGTGTTGTGTGTAAAAATTAATTGAAATTGTTTTCAGCCATTGGTTAAATTCAAAAGTCATCTGTACTATGAAGAAAAAGACAATGTTCAAGAACGTCTTAAATCATTGTCTGCCCTTCCCACAAGTAAAATTTTGTGCTTCAAAAACGGCCAGTGTCAAGGAGTCGCATTTGAAGATATTTATCAAGGATCTTATTATCCTACTTTATCCTTATACAAAAACATTACAGTGACAGCAAATTTTGGGCCAAATTTGAAATATCCTCCACCAGCAGAGTATAATTGGAAGCCTGTAAGTATTAAAATAGCAAAGTTAAATTTGAATTAACAAAATTTACTTATAGATGTCAGAGAAAGGTGAAGAAGCGATATGTGATCAAATTGTAGCAGATATGCAGTTTTTAACTGAAAATGAGGGACGATTAAGATTGGATAGTTTCGTACTTTGACATTAATGAACCCCACGATTTGAGACTATTCCTTAGCTATAGACTTTTTATAACATAAGTGCATACAGTTCTCCATAGAAATAGATTATAAATAATTGGTAAGATTCTTTATTGAAACATGGTTAATAAATAATGTATGTATAACAATAAAAGACATGCCTAATAATCAACAAACCTAGTTTATTTTCCAAAACCGCCCCTGCAATTTGGACTAGGTTCAATTTCCTCATCCGTCCATTGTTCTGGTGTTTTCGCAACTATTGAAAGGGCGTGAACTCCTCCTAGGAGTTCAGCTTTTAAAATGTCATTTACTTTCCTGTGTCTCTAAAAAATTAAATGTTTCATTTTTGAATAGATACAACTGAATCTTACCTTAATCAAAGATAGATTCTTGAATTCATCAGATACCACAACCACTTTAAAATGGGTTTCTGCGTTTTTTGGGACATTGTGCATGTAGGATTCGTTTATAACCTGGAGGTGAGAGGGTTTCAGGTTTTCCTGAAGTTTGGCTGTTATTGATGATTCTATGGGTTTGTCTGCTAGTGACATTTTAGTTTTCGAGCTCAGAAATCTGAAATAAAAATTAGGTGTGTAAAGTTTACCCCATAAGCATAAATAGTATATTACATTCCGAGGTGGAAAGTGTTTCATTACTGTCGCGAGATTTTAGTTAGGATGAGGCGCAGCCGAGGTTTAACTAAAATCTTGAGACAGTAATGAAACTTTTCACCGAGGTATGTATAATATTTTATTAACAATTTCATTCACTTGCGGCCCATGGGAGGAAAGTAAACTTTCGACCCGTGGGCCAAAAGTAACGACCAATTCCATAATCAACTTAAAGTAAACTTTAAATTTAAAGCTCCATTTGAAGTTGAAAAATCCTATCCTAAAAGTCTATTTAGCTAAAGTAACTTTTAATTCTCTATTATGAAATTGGCCGTAAAAGTCAAAAAATACAATAAACTTTAAAAATTTCATTTACTTTCGACTCGTCGGCCGAAAGTAAAAGTCAAAAAAAGTGACATTTTCAAACTTTTTAAAAGTCAATATTACATGTATGATTGTAAATAATAGTATATTACATTACGAGTGTAGAAAGTGACAAATTTCACACGAGTGTTGAAAGCTGCTTTCTTACAAGTGATGTAGTCGATGTAGACCATTTTTCCTACGACCAGAATCCTATTCACACCAATTTTCTCTTATTTTATTTCTTTTCGTTTTCAACGCACATGCTGAAAATACTTTCAACCCACGTATTGAAAGTAAATTGTGATGTCAATCACAAATAATGTCAACAGTATTTTCCACACGTGTGCTGAAAGTACTTTTAGCAAGCGTATTGAAAGTACTTTCAGCATGTGTTTGATATTTCGCGCTTTCCAAAGAACCAGCTAGTGCAGATTTTGTCATTTTTGTATGAGGTCGTAGGAAAACAATATGTTCAACTGGCCAAAGGTCAAGTTAATATAAGTCAAAATTAATTAGGTATGTCATGAACAATTATTCTTAAGAACTGAATAAAATAAATATGGTACAAAGTACTCAAACACCTATAACAAGTTTGTAGTTTCTTAGCAGTATGAAAAAACTTACCTGATGGGCAGATTTTTCTTCGGTAGTAATTTTACGAAATTCATATATTTAAATAGGAAAATTATAAATTATTATAAATTTAATACAAAAATAAAATATTTAAATTTTTTATGTTTTGCTTCTGATTTTTAGGTTATAACGTTTTATTTGTTGTTGTTTCTTATTGCTGGCAAAACGACATAGATGTCGCTAGAGGAAATATTTGGAAGGATCAAGGCAAAGAATTCGCGAAGGGCCCCGAAGTAGGCGACATCTATGATCAACTTTGGTACTCAAAACTCAGTGAGCAATAAAGCAAGTTTGCATTTGGCCCCAGGCATTGTTTCTGGAAGTTTTCAATTTTCTACAGAATATTATTCATTTTATGTATTGTTTCTGTTATATAAATCACAAAAACACCATAAAACACAATTTAACAAAAACTAACCTCAAAAAACTGGCTTTGTTGTTCACTGAGTTCGGCAGACATATTGCTATTTTTCGCGTAATTTAGCGCCATCTATTGGTATAGGAATTTCGCCGATTACGTCACAAGTATGCTGGGCTATATTGCACTATTTTCCTCCTGGAAATTCGAATACGCGAAAACATTATCAAATAACGAACTCCAATCTATAAAATGGAATGTTATAGATGATATAGCACAAATAAACGATAGGTCGTCATTTGTGACCAATTCCTGCCCTCATTGGTCGCAGTTATGACGACCAAACAACAAGCAAGGGTGGTGGGTGAGTCGCATTTTGGGTAAGCAGTTGGCCGCCCATCACTTCTGCAATGATTCATTAGCGTTAGAGATGGTGTTATAGAGACAACAAATTAAATGAATATTTTTTCGGTCGTAAATTGGTCGCTTTTGCTTGTCAGAAACCACACTACAGTCGTACGAAACTGACTTGCAACTGCGACAAAAGGTTTTTTTTTGTAAATTTTTACTGCTTGAAGAGAATCCTGCTTTAGGACTTGTCTTCTACTTCCGTTATTAAAAAAAAAATTGAAGCTACATAAGCTATATGCTGGTAGGTACCTAAAGGCCGGTTTATATTTTGATTAGTAGCCATAAGTGCAGGTGTGCACCGCTAGTGTTTACCTAATATCTATTCACAATCCGATGTCCAAAGGTACAGGTAAAATTTATCACCTTTCGATGCTATTGATAAGGAAAGGTGATAAATTTACCTTTACCTTTGGACTACGGATTGTGAATAAAATATATATATATCCTATTCACAATCTGTAGTCCAAAGGTACAGGTGAATTTATCACCTTTCCCTATCAAATAGCATTAAAAGGTGATAAATTTTACCTGTACCCTTGGACTACAGATTGTGAACAGATAATAATTATAGAATTGTAGACGGATCTGTCAAGTGATAGAAAGTTCTCGCGCCTCAGACGCTACGCTAATAATACGGTACCGCTAACAATGCAATATTTTAAATGGTATTTTATATGAAATTTGGACAGCACGAGAACTTTCTAGTGGTAAAGGTCCCCACAGACGTCCCACGACAGTTATTTTGCACAAGCCGACTGTGCAAACCTGGTTTGTGCAGGCATATCGGCATGTCTGTGGATACTTCCGGCCGACTGTGCAGGCTGTTGGCCTGTCCTGAGTAAATTCAAAATCTGCTCGAAATTTGACCTGCACAAACCATTTTCACTATAGAGAAAAAATATCCTTGAACTGCGTTTGTTATAGATATTTACAGATATTTGATACAGATAGAGATTATTGTGAATATTGCTGTAAATAAACACTATCATTATAGGTATTATTATTATAAGAGATATCAAGGACAAGAGGATTCAAGAAAGGATAAAAAACTTATTTGGAATGACGCCAAAGGGATTGGTACAATTAAAAATCAAAAATCCTATCACATACAGTTTCCGTTAAGGGAAAGAATGGAGAGAAAAGAATCAAAGGAAACTGCAAAAGTTTCCTGAAGTCGTAATCGTATATACATATCTATAGCTTAAAGTATTGGGATTTGTATTATAATTATAGGTACTTTTTCATGTATTTGTATCATATCAGCAAAAATCGTGAAATTCTCTCTAATCTCCTCTTGGGGGAGAGATAAAGGAGTGACATCGGCGCGATGTCCGCACTTCAGCATCGATTTGCCGCATCGGGTCGCGCCGGCGTCCCGACGCCGAATCGGCCGGGCGTCCGCTCAGTCGCGAATCGACGACGTCCGGACGACGTGAGTAACTGTGACGCTTACAAAAAAAAAAATTCACGAGCAGAAAAATAGTGAACTCGCGGTAATAATAGTGCATGCAGTTCGGTTACAACCAGTTCAACTAGTGACCTTATTTTATTTTAAAAACCAACGACAAAATTTTTTATTTTTTTTTTTGGTTTTTTGCTTTTAGACAATGATTAATTATTATTGAATGTGCAGGACGTTCCATGAGTAAGTTATGTTGAATTTATTAAGTTCAAAAAGCATTATTAGGTCAAACAAACTCCAGCATCCTAATCTTTTTTTGATATATTGTCTGAGTTTCAGCATGTAGAATCCCAAAGTAGGGTATCTCCCATCCATAATTAACAGATTTTGTTTGAACTTTTGAAACACAATAGTTTACAAAGTATACCTAATGTATTTATCTATTTCATTTGTGATTACCTAAGTAGGTATCTTGAAGTTATATGTTGGATTTTTGGGTAGATTTTTTATTGAACCAAAAACCAAACTATGTTGCGCGAGAAAAACAAGTAGATCCATGAAGACCTTGAGCTAGTATCAGAGCACCTGTCAAATCACTAGATGGTTCGAGGGGTTTGTCGACTTCCTATTGATTATTATTATCAAATAGCTGAGTTTTTAACTTAAAAATTAACCAGCTATGTAGATATATACCTACCTATTATTATCTAATTGCATTAATAATTCGTAGTTTTGTAACGGGATTTTCAAAGTACTTTTACATAATCAAAACTTACAAAATGGCAACAAATCAAAAGTAATTTGATTAAATGTTTTGAACATGCGGAAACATTTGCTATGTAGACTAATTTTGTATCAAAAATAAACCTAGACAACAACCTACACTATCATTTGGAGCGTGATCAATTTTATTTAGTACCTACGCCAATCTGAAGCTATAGGTATATTATATTTTGTAAAGTAGCTACCTATACCTTGACATTGATTTTCATAATGGACCAATGAAGTAAAAGGCTATTTTATAACTAGATTTTATTTCCTTTTTTGGGGTGAGATTTTGATGGAAAAAATTCCTAGGTATAAAGCGTCCTGGCTATAATGGGTATTTTTATTATTTGTAAATGAAATTTAGACAAAGGGCATCATGTAGTTCAGCAAGCGGTCAAAATGAAGCCTGATTCTGCTCAGCTCAAATAAAAACAATCTCCCTAATGCCCTCAGTGACCAGTGACCATCAGTGACTGACGCCTCATTTGTAAACTATTGTTGGCGTGTTAGATTTTACCCAAAAAACAAAATTTAAAAAAATTCCCTTCATCGCGGTATAAGATTTTATATACCATTTGATAGGTATTCCTGAGGGCATAAAAGTATTTCAAGGATTAGTTTTCAAGTGTCTTGAGCAAGTAAAAGTGAATTTTCAACCAGAGTTGTATATTATTCTTCATACGATAACTTTCTAACAGGCGTGTCACCATATTACAGGTTACACCTGGGTAAAAGGTTGAGATAAAATAAAACACAATGTACTTCCATAAAATTTCGTATGCCATTCATAACATAGCAAAACCGAAAACTGTGAACTGCCAGATAAACTTTTAACCAAGAAATATATTCGAAGAGCTCAGTGCTGCGGTAACAGCGCAACCCCTAAAAACCAAAAAGTCCGAAATGTATCGCTTATAGCCTTTGGCCCACTTCCAAGTTCTTATGAACTTGCGCTGGCAGCGTTTAGATTGGAGTGTACTATAAATGGAAAGGGCTTTCAAAAACAAGGGCTTTATCTTTTGTGATAGTTTATTCAGTTTTTCAAGGTTTCACATTTGGATTTTTCAGAATAATGTAAAAACTTACTTTGTTCATTCCATACGTATATGTAATGTCTGCCCAGCGAGTCTGTGTCTACGGGGCAACGGTAAGGGGAATGCAGTTGTAAAAAAAAATGGCTGATTTCATTCATAAAATACCCAGCTGCGTGCGGAACTATTTGGAAGTGTTATCGTATTGCAACTCTTACACGAAAATCAGCAATGACCAAATCTCCGCCACTGGATATTTCAATATAAATCGATATTCCAAGATGGGAGGATAAAATGACGTGAGCCCTGGCCAATAGCGAGACGTAAGGTGACGTTAGCTCATTGACAACTGTATGGTTCCCCATGACAACGGCGATCCTGCCAAAAACTCCACCAATCAGGTTCATCCAGGACGGATGCTTGCCAAATTGTCAAAAGCTGATGGTATCTTTAGAAAATGTTTATCTTTTACAATAGACCAAATTAAAGAAATCAGGATTAAAATAAGGATAGATCTAACAACCACGTTAAAATATTTAGCATTTTATTATTGTAATCAATATTTTGTTAAGTATTAAAAAATGGATTTTCAAATTAACTATACTTCATGCCTAGTATTTTCGCTTTTTTATAATTAAACGTGGCAACATGGCACATTTACGTCCGAATTCCTTCCGTAGACTCAGAACCGCTGGGCAAACAATATATCGATATTGATATCTTTATGATTAACGATATATTTTTAGTTGCTACGCGACTTCTTCGCCATCGCCAGTCTTAGTAATAGGAATCCCAAGAATTCCAATTGCTCTGCCACAACCACTCTTATGTCATCACATGAATCAATGGAACGCAATTAATAATAAAATGTAATTATAGTCTTGTTGCATTTATTTTTTTAATATAATTGCATATCTGATTCTATAATTAGTTACGTAGGTATAGATACTTTCTGATAATAATTAATTCTTGCCTTGCTTACTTTGGAGGTAGGTACCTACCTACCTCTACTTATAAGTACACACCGATGTATTAGACTCACAAATTTTTGTTTTATTATGCAAGAAACTTGTTTAGCTTAGTATCTGACGACCGAAATCACTTATTAATTTCTGTTTTAAGTTTTGAAAAGACTCTTATTCTTTCTTTTGACATGTTAAAGACCAATAGGTACTCCCGCGTTCGACATTTTGTAGGTATCAACTATCTGTTTTTTTTTTCTAGTTGTATTGCATTTAGGCTTAGAGATTTCATTTTCTTGGTTTTTGTCTGTATATTGTATTACAATAGTGGCTTTAACACTTGGAAATGTACCTATTCCATCTCGAAGAGAGGTGAATAAAAGAATAGGGGTAAAATCAAAAGTTCCATGGATGGATACGACAACAGAAATGACAGAAGAATGTAATTGAACTACATGCTATGTAGATACTTGGAAAAAAGAAAACTTTTCGCAATTGAATCAAGAATACCAGGAGGTATAAGAAGAATTAAGGAAAAGATACCAGATATAGACTTTAGAAAATGAACAATCGATCAAATATACATTTTATTAACTGATACATTAATGAAAGCCGGAAAAAAAGTAGCACATACCAGCACAAAGAGAGAGCCCTTATATTTCTTCAGAACCAAATATCCTAATAAATGATAGCAAAATATTAATAAGACAAAAGGAAGGAACATAGCAATATAATTATACAGAAATGAATAAAATTATCAGAAAAACTGCGAAAGAAACTAAAAGAAAAACTAACAACGAAACCTTAAAAACAACTCAAGAAGAAAAAAATTAAGATACTCGGACATTTTCAAAAAAATGTCAATTCAAAGCTAACAAATATCAGATTCCGTTAATACTAATACATGACATTCATACATTCAGTGCCGGCCTTAATTGATTTACCGCTGGGTGGAATTTACATCCCACCGCCTCTTAAAGGTTCCTAGTTTTTAAAGTTAAAAATACCTCAGCAAAGTTTTTTTATTCGTAAGTAATGCTCAAAATCTGAGCTCGAATAGTATTTAGTAGGGCAATTCCACGAATGCAAAATCAAAATAAAATATTTATTTTTCTCAAATAACAAATAGTATATTATTCAACGAGCGGGTAATTATGGCTATTACTTACGAAGGATGAAGTTTGCACTACGTGCCGCAGGCGAGTAGTGTAATCATCCGAGTGTATTTAACAGTTAGAAAATAAATAAAAATACCGTCAGGGATTCCGGGTTCACTGAAACTCGACAAAAATTGAATTACAAGAAACTCAAATTATTCCTACGCTCTATTTATATAGTCAAAATTGCACTCAGGATTTAGCTAGAAAAACATCGAATCGAATATACTTAATAGAATTCTAGGAAAAAGCGTACTGCCCGGAGTGAACAAGTGACTAATTTTTAATTTAATTTCTTCGAATCCCGGCGCCGCGATGTCAATACTTTTTCGTAATCAATACCTAATATTCTAGTATTTCAATGAAAATGGAAGCGAAGAGAGCGGGTTACCATAGGGCAATATTGGCGATGTTGCTAATTACATCACCGGGTTGATAAATAATTTTTATTTACAATCATACATGTAATGTTGACTTTACTGACTTTTAAAAAGTTCGAAAATGTCACTTTTTTGACTTTTACTTTCGGCCCACGGGTCGAAAGTTTACTTTCGACCCGTGGGCCGAAAGTGAATGAAATTTTTAAAATTTATTGTATTTTTTGACTTTTACTTTCGGCCCACGGGTCGAAAGTAAACTTTCGACCCGTGGGCCGAAAGTAAATGAAATTGTTAATTATTGTATTTTTTAGTTTTAATCAAAATGAAAATTTCAAAATTCGAATGATTGTAAATAAAATAGTATACATACCTCGGTGAAAAGTTTCATTACTGTCTCGAGATTTCAGTTAGACCTCGGCTGCGCCTCGGTCTAACTTAAATCTCTCGACAGTAATGAAACACTTTCCACCTCGGTATGTAATATACTATTATTTGCAACCATATATGTAATCTCGACATTACTGACTTTTTAAAGATTTGAAAGTGACACTTTACCTGTGTCACTTCCCTCTTCGATTTCCCTCACCGATTTCCCTATTCGACTTCCCTCACCGATTTCCCTTACTCTAATTTATTTACCTTTGCTGGCAACAATGAGAACATGTCAGGTAAAAACGTCAAAACAGGTGAATGACATATTTTGGCATATTTGTTTTATTTTTTTAATATTAAAAAAATTGAATGACTAATCATAATAATTGGTGTGCTTGCAAATAAAATAGTATACAAACCTCGGAGGAAAGTTTTCATTTCTGTCTCGAGATTAATAGTCAATCTCGACGCTTCGCGTCTCGATTGACTATATAAATCTCTCGACAGAAATGAAACACTTCCCTACTCGGTATGTAATATACTATAACATTTCCCATAAATAATATTCTACCGTATTATACCGTTCGATTTTTTCTTTATAATTTCTATTTTAATTTATTTCCTCAACTTACCGCCTCTTAAATTTTGCCGCCGGGTGCAGTTAGCACCTCTGCACCACCCTACGGCCGGCGCAGCATACATTATGTGATTAGATTCACGAACTTAATCTTGAGGATATAGGTACGATAAGGCATAACAATAATTATTAAACCAATATGAAAACTGAATAACTGATTTTATGAAAATATGATGGGAATAATTATTGGGTATGAATATAAAAGACGACAAAATGCGGATAAAAAAGAAGAAAAAACTACAAGGAATGATACAAAAGCTGGAGGACCTCCTTCTTCTAAACAAAATAAAAAGTATGAGAAAAACAAATCAACCAAGGAGTTATCATTAACGCATTAGTCTGTCAACTAAATCAACAAAAATGTTGATTCTAGGCTTCATCACACATAACTTCTAACAAAGAATGGCTGGTCAATTTCTCATTAGAAAGGAACGTTGGCTGTTGCCAATAATGAGATTTTATATAGTCAAGGAATTGAAGATGTAACCTATGCTCCGGACCTAATCCTCTAATTAGTAAGCCAGATGGTCTCTAAAGGCTTGTAGCTCTATTCAATAATGAAAGATGCAAGATACTTGAAAACAGTGTGATTGAAGGCGATACAGTGGCTAAAGCAACTGACATTGGTACAGTCTATTGCCTAAACAGTGAAAACGCCAATATATCGAACACAGAAATGTCAAAAGAACTTTGGCACAGAACACCTAGACATTTAAACCGTATCAGAATGGCTATAGGATTGAATTTTCCTGAAAAAAATCCTGACGATCCTTGTCAGTCCTGTATTCAACGAAAGCACAGCCGTGAACCGTTCAAAACTCAACGAACAGAGGTTTCCATTCACGAAGAGTTGGAGTGTCTGTAGATTCTTGGAGAGGAAGTCAGTATATTTTTTGTCTAATAGATGACATCACAACAAGCAGAAAATGAATGTAACTTGAAGATAAAAAGAATCCGAAGTGACCATGGTAAAGAATTCTCAAACAATAATTTGAAGAATTTTCTAAAGCAAAAGGCATCAACGATTTTGGATAAAGACGAAATCTATGATGCAAGAATCGTCTTCTGATTATCGTTTTTGGGCTGAAGCTGTCAATACTCCAGTATATTTGATCAATCGATCACTATCGAAATTGATCAAGAAAATGACACCAGAAGTGGTAAATCTCAGTCATTTGAGAGTCATTGGATCAATAGCGAATGTTCATATACCATCAAATGGAGAAGTATTTCCTTCTCTTCAATAACAAAATCTTCCAGTTCAAGAAAGACAACTATAAGATCAGAATGCAGATATCCAATTCGAGACAGAATACCGAAAGAATTCCCGGATCATCTTTTATCTCAAACTTTATTTGATTTTTCTGAGCCAGAAACATTCAATGAAGCAATTCTCAAGAGTTGCGATGCAAGATGAAATAGATTCACTTCATGAATCTGGCACTGGAATCTAGTTGAAAACCCAAAAAATGTTAACATTGTCCAATCTAAATGAGTGTAAAGTAAAGCAAAATACTGATGGAAACGATTAATGTTGCACCGCTTTTCTCAATAGAGAACTATGTAGATGTGACCATCTACATGGAACAACCAGGAGGTTTCGTCGTTGAGGGGAAAGAAAATAAAGTGTGCCCTCTTCGATAAACATACTAGGTCAGTTCTCTCTCACAAGAGTCCCTGACAGTTTGCAAACTGTCAGTAAGCATCGTCCATGCATGTTTTCAATGCCGTCGTTCCAAGATAAATCGGTAATTTAGCTGAGCGATTGTTTCTGACAAGTTGTAAACTGTCTGAAACTCCTGTGAGAACAGACCTAATACGGACTTAAACAAGCTTGAAGATTCTGGAATAAAAAAAGCAATCAGTACCTACATGAGAGTTGCATCTACGCCATGAACAAGAAGAGCTCCATAGTTATAATTGCACTGCACGTGGACGACTTTTTTATTTTTCGCAATAATCAAAATTGAGTTGAGAAATTGAAGAAGCAACTATCACATCACTTGGAGTTGCACATTACAGCATAACTTAGTATTTCTATCAATCAGAGAAAGGTACACCAATGAATCCAAATGTGAAACTGCCATTAGTGAATGTGCATTAGCAACTAATCGGATGGTGAATGTATTTCAGTGTCACTTCGCGTGTCACATAAGAGAGATGGTTGAAAATGGTGAAGTTCAGTTAGCATATCTTCATCTTTCAACAAACAAGATGACTGCTGACATTTGTACCAAGCCGCTACCAAAACCGAAATTTGAGTTTTTTGTTCAAAATGATGAGTAGGCACTTCAGAAGTGTTATAGGAAGGGGTGTTGATGAAAGAATGTTTCTCCTGATACGTTTGCTCAGAAGTTTCCCTGTACATTTTGATATGTGATTGTCTTTTTTTTGTTTCTGACTTTAAAGTTTGTAGTTTGTTCTCGTCCGAGTAATATAGTACCTACCTATCTAATGGAGTAAGAGAAATTCTCTTTTTCATAGACGCTGTAGTATAGATTGTTCAATACAAGATCAAGTGACAAGTGGTGAAGAAATGCAGAAAATCACTAGCTTTAGTAGAAAATTTGATGAAAATGATAAAATTATCATCTTTGACATCTGAATTTTGAAAGCTTTTCCATTTAAATAGGTATAGCACTTCAAAATATTCTCAAACGAACTATACTTCTTACTTTACACAAGTAAGCAGGTACCTACGGAAAGAAATTTGATATCAACTCTACAAAAACGACACGCCGACTTGTTCCAGATGATTCGTCACCAATAACCGATATCATTAATATAATTTTTGTTCTAGATCATACCAGTAACAATAATGTCAATTTGGTCGGAGCGGTTCTTCTAAGAACGGAACCGGGGACACCCGATGCCCGCGCGGGCGACTGAATGACGTCAGAGGACGCGAGGGGCGGCGCACGGCCGTCCTCGCCCGCCCTCAATTTCAGCCTGGTGGCCGCCGACATCCTCGTAGACGCCACCGTTCGACCGGAATGTCTGGACACCCGGAAATACTGGTGCTTTCTGCTATCGTCGATATGCACGTTCCTAGCAGGATTATGTATAGTACTGGTGAGTGTAATTTTCTGGAATTCAGGAATCAATGTATAACTCTATAAGGTATTCCTTTAGACTGTCAGAAATCTGGATCACATAAACTGTATCCATAGGTTCATTATTTATTTGTTTTCTGGGAAAATCCATGCAAACTCTTATAAGGTATGGTTCATATACAAGGTGTTTGGTACATCGATAGGAATATTTTAATGAGGGATAGTTGGGGTCATTTGGAAGCTGTTTGACCATATTTATCTCAATGAAAAGTTTCGCCGTTTTTTGAGATAGGTATCGCCATTTTTAGATATTTTGAATCCCATGTATTTTAACACATAACTTGGGCTACATATTTTTTGTACCTATCATAATCATTCGGTTTTTTTTACGTATTTTTCGAAAAAGTTCTTATTAAAAATATCGGGAAAAAAAATTGAGAAAGGATAAAGTGTTTACTACCAAAAAAAAAAACAATATGTTGTAGGAACAATTCAAAAATATCTAAAAATACTGATATCTGAAAAACGACGAAACTTTGCATAAGGGTAAATGTGGTCAAACAGCTCCCAAATGACCCCAACTATCACTCATTGGAAACTTCCTATCGATTTACCAAACACCCTGTATATAGGGTGACTCACGCAAAATATCATTGGCTATTCTTTCTCATTGCCAATCATTTTCAACTAAATAAGTGCAAAGTGCATAAGCATAAATTACCTATGTTGACAAATAAATGTTCATCATGTATTATAGAATCATTAGTAATTCTAATTCTATCCGTACGTCGCATCATGATTTTACAAATCTCTATTAATATTTTCAATCGTACATTATGATACATTAATAAATTATTCAAACGAGCATCTCTTTTTAAGATAACAATATGCTTGAGACGTAATTTTTATGAGATTTGTTGGAAATTATTGACACCAATTACCTATGTAAATTCTGTTATATAGACGTATCTTTATTATGAGTACATACCTACCATTTGTTGCTTTAGATAATTTTAAGCCGCATACACTTGATGCATACTTAAAAATTAATTTACCACACTAGGAAATATTATAAGACCAAAGAGAACTCAAGAAAGAAAAGATTTAAAAAATTCTTCGGATGAAATAAACGTTTGCCTTCTTTCTACAAATATTAAACTTTTGACAAAATAACTGAGGGCAAAATAGACAAAGATTGATGGAAGTGTTATATGTTTATGTTTGCTTTTCCCGAAAATGGCAGTATTCTAAAAGGCACCTCATTATAACCAACTTTCGCCCTTTCTTAAAAGATTTACTATTAGAACGAATGTGATTGACGTAATTGAATGAGCTACTTATTGTTGCCAAAATTCCTATGCTCGACCTTTAGGATATTTCTTAAGTTCATAGGCTCGACCTGAGACCTATACAGTTTTAACGCGCAGCATAAATGATTATGACAAAGGTGCAGCTGTATAAATCAAGTATAAACTCAGTTTAGTAGAATTGATTGAACCATGATTCAACTAAACTGGGCCGAAATTCCTTATATTAGATTCATTTTGAAAATTGGCTTGTTCTTCTTCTAGGTTTGGCGTCTGTTTGCGTTTCTCTGCTGTCGCAAAGAGACCGAATATGGTCCCAACGATCCCAAACAAAAAGAACAGAAAGCTGCCCGACAGGGCAAGCAGGAGTTCGAAGGAACATTCATGACCGAGGCCAAAGACTGGGCAGGAGAACTTATTTCTGGACAAACCACAACAGGTCGAATTCTGGTAAGAACTTTATATGTATATATTTTTTGAAACTATACAAGTAGCTTCTTTCTAATACAAAATAGGCAGCCGGGTGGAGGCACTTGTTGGAATTTTGTCTAATACTGATGTTGCGGAAATAACTCACAACAAGTTTAAACTTTTATTATTTCTAATTTAATATAATCTCAATTTCTATTATTTACCATAAAAATAATATTCTAAAAATAGATGCCTGTAAAACCGGCAACAACAATACCCTTTGAACCGGTAAAATTACAGGTTTCTCCATTACCTTATGAGGCAGTGGAGCTATTTCGCTGCTGTGATTGGTCAGCCGCCACATTGTTTTTTAGATTTTTGCGACCTGCTCCGTCGACGCACATTCGGCAGTACTCTTAGAATAAGCGAAAAGTTCGCACCTTCGCGCCCTGTGAATGCTCTCCAGAGGCAAAAACCCCAAAAACCCCCGTTAAAGCACACGATTTATAGTAAAATACTACTCCCAGTGTCTCAAGGCCTGACATGGTCTATATTATTGATCACAATTCATGTAATTAACCCCTAATTGTTGCAAGTCACCTCGGACGAGCAAACTTCTCTCCTACGCCTGTTTTTGGTTATTTCTCTCACTCCCGTCGGGATCCAAAGCATCTGTATATCCTTGTTTTCTTTTCATCTCAATTCTCAGTGGAAAATTCCTCAGCTGTCAGTGTGAATAGTGATAAATGGATAAATAATCGCCTTATGGATTTATCTGTATGAACTGGATTAATCAAGTAAGACCGTCACAATTTCTCTAACAGTCGAACAATAAGTTAATAAATAGTGATTGGTGATTCGCTTGAAATGCACTATAAATTGAAATGCAGAAATTTGGTTTTCACACTCGTGAAATTAACATTTGTACATTTGTATATAGAAACTGAGCATATACATATATAAAGACTTTTCTTGCACAATGTTTACAGACTTCAGCAGAAAAGTGCTCAAATTGTTAACTCTCAATAAATAAAAGAACTTTCAAGGATCAATAAACATTTTGTGATTGCAGTGAACTGATTGAAGTTGAATTATTTATGTTGTGCTCTCGTGCATTTAATTAGTTAATTTGTGTTCTCGTTCAATGAACATTTAACCATGAATAATATTATTATCATTATCAGATTTCCCTACTTTTTATAAATCAAGATACTTATTTACTTTAGATTAGTATAAAATTTGTAGTTTGACTGGACGTCCAATTAGGAATTTTTAGATAGGATTTGATTGCTGACTATACCGAATTACTTTCATTTATTAATTAAATTGATAATAATTATTCTATTTCAGCGTTTTATTTGTATAAATGAGAATCAAGGCACCCCTAACCCAATACAAGGCTTAAATGATCCAACACCCAATGGTTAATTTTTACAGTCAGTCCAAGTGAAAACTTTTGGCACCCCTGGTGCGGTTTAACTAAAGCCCGAAAAGGGGCAATAGCTAGTTCCGTCACAACTGACAAATTCCAGATACATATTTGAATGCATTTATTTTTCGCAATCCACTTTTCAAAGGAAAGTTCCTGAAGCTGCTTCACCCTGCTCTCTAAAATGACTTTGACAAAGGGTCTTTCATTTGTACACATGGAACGCCTAGACTTTTTTAAAGTATTGTTGAGTCCTTTGTTGAAAATATTTTCCTCTTCATTCATGTAATTAAAATTCTGTCCGGGCCGGGAAATATTGATGTTCACGTGAAAATGCTTTGTACCTACACGTGTAGGTATCTATTTGCTTCAAAAGTGAGTCATTTTATTTAAATGAGGTTATACCACAGTATCCCATGTGTAGAAATATTTTCCGTGTAGATGGAAATATAGATTTCCGCTTGAAAATATCTAATTATTTTAAAAGCTTTAGCGTGACTATTATCACTCATATGAGTGACACGAAAAATCGATAAAATAAAACAATCTTTTATACATTTTTAAATTGTATTCATTAAGGACCGGTTTATCAGTGGATGGTTATTCAGTTTAGCTGTTGGTTAACTAATAATTATCATTGGTTAACCGACAGCTAAACTAGATAACCTTCCATTAATAACCCGTCCTAAGTCACACAATTTCATTAATTACATTTTTCTTGAACAAACACCACTTTACTTCGAGAACTCTTCGTTTTAGGAAGAAGTTTCATGAATTTGCTTCAAACAAAAATATATAAAAATGTTTGAATTATAATTTCACTTTGCTAGTATGTAGGTATTTTCCTAAGCAGAAATTGCATGATTTATAAGCTATTATACATTAAGAAAATTATATTTTCCATCCAAAGCAGCATTTATGTGTAATTATATCGATCAATTTTTTTTTCCAATGCTTTATATAATGACACGTTTAGTAACCTTTCATGTCTATAAGTCATGTTTGTTGAAATTTAATAAGCATTTCATCAACTATGTTAGTCGTTATTGATGGTCAATCATTTATTATCCCATACAGTTATGAGGCTCAATTTCATGGGTATATTAAATTTAATATCAGTAAACACACATATTAATTTAACAGTTAATTTACCTAAAAAGAGCAAACAGCAAACCTAATAAAAAAAAATGTTAAAAATTTAATTTCGTCGAAGCAATTTAATGTACTGATTTATGAATAACCGTTAACTGTTTTTATGTACCAATAAAACAGTTTGTAGTCCAGCTGGTTATTACCAGGCAGCCTCTAATAACTTATTTATTGGCAGGCATTTACTACGTCATATACAGTCCAAAAATGTTAAATTACCTAAATAAATAAATTATATTAAATGTTAAACTACCTGAATAAATAAATAAATAATATTTATTTGCTTCAATTGAAGGACATAATAAATTATTTTTTGGGCTTTTTAGTGTTTGGTAAAAATATATCCACTAGCCGTTTCTATGTGGAACATTTCTGGAGAGTCAAATTGTAATCAGTTTTTCAGTATCAACAAGTTCCTGAAACACTGTCGCAATTCATTCTAGTACCACAAAAGAATAGTTATAAAACTCATTGCAACAAACACTAATATTTATGATATTCCACCCCACCCATCAGATGCGAGTTATTCCTAATATAAATCCCTATGTTATTATTATATGTATACATAGTTCTCCTTTTCAATGTTGAATATAAGTGTACGTATTTGTAAAAGCTCATAATAATATAAAGATGCTGAGCAAGCGGTACTGCACTGAAAATGTACCATCATATCAAGGTATCGCCCACATGATTGCACCGTCAGCGATATTTTATTATAAATACGGGTCGTAAAGCTTCTTAGGCATTCATTAATATTGTAGCTTAGACTCTATCAATTTGAACCAAGATTATTTTGTTACTAGCTTTTCGCCGCAGCAATTAGAGTCTAGTATTTTTTGTTGTAACTTCTCAGTTTTTAATAAAATAAATACAGCTGTATGCAACATCCTCTTTTAACTTAAAAGCGCTTTTTAAAACTGTTCACTTTTAAAAATGTGCATTCTAAACCATACAAATTTTTTAAGGTACCAGTTTCAAAAAGCGCTTTTAAGTTAAAAGAGGATGTTGCATACAGCTGATAGTATTTAAAAACAAGATTTACTGAACGAAAAATATAATTTGCGCTTTAAAACATTGCCTTTTCAAATATTTTTAATATAAAAGCTTGCACTACAAAAGGATTAATCACGTCTTTTGTTAAACGGACATAGCGTGTACGGATACCGGATGAAATTCTTTCATGCCTGCAAATTTGCTGACCTATCCAACGATAATCAACTTTGAGTAATGCTCCGTTCTGGAACTAATTGAAGTTACTTTTTGGCCAACCATTAATCACCTGCTAATGGCTTGGGATTAAAAATGGTCAAGAATCCATGTGTGATTTTTTGAAAATTGATGAGAAAATTTAATATTTGAAATCGATAGATATAATGACATAATGACAATAATATATCATTATTATTAAGTCAGTATTTGTTATTGCTACTTTGAATGAATAAATAAATGTTTCAATCCATATAGTGACTGTCTGTATAGTGACATCGTCATTTACCTCCATATTTCAAGTGTTATATATGTTTCAACTGCTATTTACCAGCAGAATCTGGCTGATTAAAACGGTTTATCTTGTACCTTGTGAGCCAGTAGATTCTGTTAACATCCCTCAGTTTGGTTTCTTGCATGAATTTTTTTATTTGCTTATTGGAAAGAGGTGTCAAAATTGAACTCAACTATATTTTTTCCGATTTTTTTCGGACTTGCAAAGGGTCTAAATTTCGATTTGAAGTTCAAATTTCCTGGTGCCGTGACGTCACGGCACCAAATTTCTGATTGGTCAGTTTTAGCCAGTGTTGCCCAGATGTTATGGTTTTCATGTAAACTTTTCGTGATAGGGAAAACTAAATCGATATATCGAATCCATAGTAAGTATCGGACGGAATATGGAATCGATTCTCATTCCTATGAAAGAAAAACTTAACTCAACTTTTTAATTCATTATAATCATTATTTATTTTTATTTATTAGCCTGTCCAAAACTCCAAAACAGGCAGAAGGCACACAAACCATCAAGAAACAAACCACAACCCCGAGCATAAGGCCATTATGTCGTTCATAATTAAATACCTACTCATTTTCCAGTGTGTGTGTCTAAATTTTTAGAAGTTTCTACCCAATAAGCATATAAGGGAATCATTGTTTGGGGAAGTTTGCTCTACCTGCATTTTACTAATACCTACCTACCTACCTATACCTTTCATGTGAATTTTTTTCCGTGAGCATAGATATGCTCTATGCTCACCTCTGGCCAGTTTTCGGAATCGGGTTTTACAAACCCTTTTCCGTCCTTTATTACAAACAAAATAAACAATAATTACCTAACTAATGAAATTATTGTTATTTTTCTTTTAAGTACCGTAAAACGGGGTTACTTTAAAACGGCTAGGGTCCTTATTCTTGAAACTGGGGAGTAGTGTTCCCTGGACAACTAGTGTTCCATTTTTCTCAATGATATGCAAAT